ATTCATTTGGCTATTTGTCCCTGTGCTTTATCCAACCTTGGTCTCAACAGTTCTCGCTCATACAAACCCTCCTCTTTCTTGCCAATTGGACTCCTGGAGCTCCACCTGAGGCCTGGCCAGGGATCTCTGCATCCGGTTCCCTCAGTCATTGGATGGGGTTTCTAGCACAACAATTAGGGTGTTTGGCCATCCTATCACCAGAGTAGGTCAGTTCGGGCTGTCTCTCGACCATTGCCAGCAGTCTGTTTTGGGGGTATCTTTGTGGATTTCTGTGGGCCTCTCTAGCACTTTGCTTCTTCCTATTCTCATGTGGTTTTTATTTATCATGGTCTTTTATTCCTTTTGAGCAGCAGTTCAGCTGAGATCCATTTGCATGAGGACTCAGAGGCTTCCAGTCTGAGGAAACAGAATCAGCTGAGGATTTGGCAAGGTGAGGAAGCTGTAGCTTGTTCTGTTTCTCTGATCTTCCAGCACTGACCCCAGTACCTGGCTCCAGGTTTGATTTTATTAACAAAACTTTTTAAGATTCAGTCTACAGTATGTTTCAGAACTGACCATTAGGTATGGCAAAACCAATTGGTGTGCTCTTCCCTGGGGAAGACTATTTCTCTGGTTCTCAGCATTCCCTAGTTGCCTGTAGTTAGTTCTTTTTATAAGACTGAATCCTTACATGTTTCTCCCGTCTACTTTGTCATGTCTATTGCTGTCCTTATTCAGCTCATGTTAGGCAGCCATGTTGGTGAGATTTTACTGGTTTAGCTTCTGACATTACTATGAGATGTACTCTCACAACGAACTCGCTGATCCTCTGGTGCCTATAATCTTTCCACTCCCTCCTCTACAATGTCTCCTGAGCCTTAGTGTGTGAGAATGTTTTGTAGATGTATCCATTTGGACTAGGCTCCACAACTTGGCAATTTGGTTGTGGTTTTCTGTTACAATCTCCATCTGTAACAAGGAGAACTGCTGTGGGATGTTCTGTATGTTAAATGTGTTGCTCTGATTGGTTAATAAATAAAACACTGATTGGCCAGTAGCCAGGCAGGAAGTAAAGGTGGGACAAGGAGAGAGAAGAATTCTGGGAAGAGGAAGGCTGAGGCAGAGGGATGCTGCCAGCCTCCGCCATGAGAAGGTGTTAAGATACTGGTAAGCCACGAGCCTCGTGGCAAAGTATAGACTAATAGAAATGGGTTAATTTAAGATATATGAACAGCTAGCAAGAAGCCTGTCATGGCCATACAGTTTATAAGTAATATAAGTCTTTATGTGTTTACTTTGTTGGGTCTAAGCGGCTACGGGACTGGTGGGTAAGAGAGAGATTTGTCCTGACCGTGGCCCAGGCAGGACCAGAAAACCTCTAGCTACAGAGAACGTTACCTGATCAGGGGTGAGGACTATATTTATCTGTGGGCATAGGGACACATGTTTAGGTTGTTGCTAGGGATTATACTGGTTTAGTAAAGTAGTGGTTATAGGTTTCCTCCTCTCATATTTTTATACAATGTTATATAACTTGTAATCTTAAATGTAAATGTGATAAATTAAGTTTGAGTTAGTCATTTGGTAATTTCATTTACAACTCTAATATGTATCACTCAGTTGGCTAGAAGTGTTCATGATGAAACCCCACATTGGAGAATATAATACTTTTTTTATATTGTTTGGAGCAGATTGGGAACTCTACACTGTTCTGAAAGATTGCGCAGTATTTCATAATACAGATACACCACTTTTCACTCTGTTGGTTTACTGGTGGCCTTCTACAGTTTGTTTTATAATTACAAATTAGATTTTAATTTCTTTCTTCATATAATTTGGGTACTCTTGCAAGTCTGTATACGAATAACTCATCCAAGAGTTTTGTGTGGTACAATTCTTACTGTAAGTGATTCAAAGTCACCCCTTCATCTTCTTCTAACTCACCAGCAGGGAGGACTTTAAATGGTGGTCAAAATCACCAAGGGAAGATGTCTGTTATTTAATATTCTCCAAAGTCCACAGGGAGTTTTCCTCCCACTAAAGCCTGGGCCCCAAATAACACAGCAGGAACCCACTAGGGGAATTCAGTAGCTGCACAGAGTAAAAGTTATTGTTTTTTAAATGCAGAAATCAGGACTCCTAACAGTCACCAGCAAGAGCACCCCCCAACCCCTGCCACCGCCCCCACCTCCCCGGCCTGTTTGTTGACCTGAACTATTGCAGTAGGACACAGCTGGTGGCCTTGCCATGAGAAAGAGCCCAGTTAGGGCAACAAGGGTACTCTTCAGCAGTGCTAGCCCAGTCCTGACCCACCCATGTAAGGAGTTACTGGCTCACCACACTCCCTTTCAGAAGAGGCCCTCCCTGTGTGGGTTAAGGCAATGGAACAGCCTCTGCTGCTTCAGCCTACAGTGGAATATGAATAGTCTACATGCTGGATCAGGGGAGACAATGGGAGAGCCAACATATGTGAGCCCCTTACCAAAGAATCTGGCTCCTGTCTCTCCCTACATCTCCTCTGAGGACTACCCTCATTTTGTTCCTCAACCCTAGTGAGGGTGAACAGTCACAGACTGTGGTAGTTTGAATGTAACTGGCCCCCATAAGCTCATAGCGAGTGGCACTATTAGGAGGTATAGCTTTGTGGGAGGTGTAGCTTTGTTGGAGTAGGTGTGGCCTTGTTGGAGGAAGTGTGTCACTGTGGGGGTGGGTTTTGAGGTCTCTTTTGCTCAAGCTACACTCAGTGTGACATTCAGCCTACTTACTGCTGTCTGCAGATCAAAATGTAGGACTCTTACCTCCTTCTCCAGCACCATGTCTGCCTGAATGCCGACATGTCCTGTCATCCTGATGATGGACTAAACCTCTGAACTGTAAGGTACCCCAATTAAATGCTTTCCTATATAAGAGTTGCTGTGGCCACGGTGCCTCTTCCCAGCACCAGAAACCCTACTACGACCCAGGTCAACCCTCCATCCCCTGCTCAGTGCTCTCCCCTATCTGCAGCTCCACTGCCATGGTTTCAGTCACTCACAGCATCATGCCCCAAAAATAGTAAACGGAAAGTTGCAGAGATAATGTTAAGTTTTAAACAACCTTCAATACAGTAATTGTCATCCTTGTTCTCCTCTGTTGCTATTGTTTATATCTCCTTGGGTCAAATTCATAAATTAATCATTATAGTTCTGCACAGGATAGGCAAAGCTGTTTTCTAGACACCTGGCCCTTAGCTGTGAACTCGACATTGGTGAATTTAACCAACACTGATCTCAAATATTTTTAAAAATTGAGAACAGGCATCTTCCTGGGACATGTACCGAATACTTTTCATCTTTTCCTGAGAACGGCACATCAAAAGTTTACATTGCAGAGATGATTCGTAGTATGTAAGGGGACATGCAGAGGCTATATCCAAGTTCTGCAGTGTTTATACCCGGATCCTAGAACCCCACAGCTACTGAAGGAAGCTGTGCAGTGATTTCAGTCTCATGTTGACTGAGGGTTTGGAACCTTTCCCCTTAGATAAGGGACTACTGTAACACCCGTTCTTTAGCTGTTTCTAAGCCTGCACTTCCCTATGTCCTTCCTCCTTCATCATACCTTCTTCTGGGCATCTCCTTTCCTCTCGGTTTGTGGAATAACAGGCTAGAATGGCTCCCCAAGACCAACAGCTCCCCACCACATAGGCAGCCCAGAGTTGGACATCAGTCCTACTCAAGAATGCAGAACCGCTTCATTTGAATTCAATTCTCATTTCCAACCATTCCAGAGACTACTCCTCAGAGAATCCCAAATTAGGCTTATTAACACTCATGGCCAGGTCTCCTGAAGAAGGCAGACCATCTGGCACTTTTGGCAGTGATCCAACTTGTACATTTTAAAAATGAATCCCCACCCCAAATAAATGAGAAATAAAATAATGACTACTGAACGTGTCCATTTCTTTATCCATATAAAGTATTAGCTGACAGCATGGCTCCAGCATGAGGAAGGCTCCCACCTGCGGCCACAGATCAGCCAGCCTTAGAGGGCAGCGACTTCTGGGTACAGACATATGGAAGGGTCATTTGTTTCTCATTTACTCGACAGATAAGAATATGGAAACAGTCTCAGCCCATTTGTTTGATGGGCCTCCTAAGCCAGTGATAAACAAATCAATACAATTAGTTTGGCTCGTCATCATTAAGAAACAGTCACTGCTGAGACCCAACTTAATGACACCTCTCCCTCCACAGGAATTGTGGCTTCTCTTGTGGTTGTCACAAAGTGGTAATGGGTGGGTGGGAGGCACCCAGATAGTGTCTAGAGACTCTCTAAAAGCCCTGTGCATGTGTGAGTCACAGCAAGGGGCTGTTCTCGATGACCTTCCTGCCCTTGCCACAAAGCCCTGGGAAGTCCTCTGAGTAAACCTGCATTCTGTATAGAGATCAGAAATTTAATAATCCTGACAGATTGAAACAATGAATAAAGATTAAAATGATGCCTAACCCTGCATTAAAACCTAACCAGAAGCAACACTGCCTGGAGGGGGTTTGGATGCTGCCTCAGACCAACCTGTGCCCCTGACAGGGTCACCTTCAACCTCAGCCTTACAGCCAAAACCTCTGACACATCATTACTAACAAGCAACTAGTTCCGTAAATGGGACCTGGAAACTTAACATGACTCATAAAAGCAATGCCCAGAAGCTGTATCCTCTTGAATGTCAAGAACCGTTTCTGACATTCTGCTGGGAGAATCCTACTTGAATTTTGTTTTTCTCAGTGGACTTGGGTCCCACATTAGCCTTGTCGGTGTCTTTTTTTTTTTTTTTTTTTTGGTTTTTTAGAGACAGGGTTTCTCTGTGTAGCTTTGTGCCTTTCCTGGAACTCACTTGGTAGCCCAGGCTGGCCTTGAACTCACAGAGATCCGCCTGGCTCTGCCTCCCGAGTGCTGGGATTAAAGGCGTGCGCCACCACCGCCCGGCTTTGTCTGTGTCTTATATAGATTATTTTGTATGAGTGGCTGGGACCATTCCCACCTCTCCGTTTATTTTTCTTTAGACTTCAGGTACAAAACAGATCTAATGGACTAGTTGTCGAATTAGAATAAATGCAATTTTAATTTGGAAGTGATCTTAAGTATTAAAGAATAAGCAGTCAAAAAAAGGAGGAGGAGGAAGGAAGAATCATCATCATCATCACCAAGTGAGTACCACCCCATGTTCCACAAGGAATATGGGTCCTAGAAGTGCTAATTGATTTGCCCAGGTTGCCACACCTGATGATGAACAACTGGAACACATAACTGAAGGGTTTCCTCTCTAGCAGCATGTATTTCTGAAGTTCTTCACTGTCTAAGCCAGGGTTTTTATTGCTGCTCTGAAACACCATGATGAAAGCCGCTTGGGGAGAAAGGGTGTACTCTACTTACACTTCCACATCGCTGTTCACCACTGAAGGAAGTCAGGACAGGAACTCAAACAGGGCAGGATCCTGGAGGCAGGAGCTAATGCAGAGGCCATGGAGGAGTGCTGCTTACTGGCTTGCTCAGCCTGATTTCTTATAGATCTCAGGACCACCAGGACAGGGATGGCATCACCACAATAGGCTGGGTTCTCCTCTATCAATAGCTAATTAAGAAAATGTCCTTCACATTTGCCTGCAGTCCAATCTTATGGAGGCATTTTCTTAATTGAGGTTCCCTCTTCTCAGATAGCTTTAGCTTGTGTCAAGTTGACATAAAACGATCCAACACATTCACCGATGATAACTTCTCAAAGGACAAACACTGTGGATGTTTAACTTACTATTTCATCTTGTAGTCCCTTCCCACTGTGTTCCCTAGAGATCATCAGTGAAGAAGTAAAATGATTTGTCCAACAACAATCAGCTTTTTAATGCTAAAAACCAGTTATCTATAAAACATACAAGCTGGAATCCATTCTTACAGTAACCTTCCTGAAGTTCTGTGAGATGTCTACTGGCTTAAAAGCCTATGTTTAGCCTACAGAAGGGCCTGGATCCCACTGTGCTGAAGGTAAGAAGTAACTCACGTTTATTAACAAGGGGATTTTGTAGTGGGTAGCCATTCCAGCTGGTCCAACCCCCACTGAGGCTTCGGTAACTGTCACGCCTACAAGGCGGGGCTGAGAGAGGACGCTGAAGACCTGAGATCTGGATGCATGGGCTCTCTTGGTTCCTGGACCCTGGACGCTGGAGTTAGACTGAGCAGAGTTCTCCAGAGAACACCGCTGGACTGCGCCACACCTTTCCCAGACCCTATAGCCTATCCCTTCACTTGTAAGTTACCCCACAAAAAAAAACCCTCCCTTTTAACTACGTGGAGTAGTCTTAATAATTTCACCAATAGGGTTTTATTAGTTAAATTTTCTATGATAAATCCCTGTCAAAAGTACTTTAAAGAGAGCTGGTGCAGAGTTCAAGATTACAATCCAACATGGCAAGAAGTCATGACAGCGGGAGCTAGAGGCAGCTGCCCTCACTGTATCCACGGTCAAGAAGCAGAGTCCTGAATGCTTGTGTATAGCTCACTTTCTCTTTTTCATACAATCTAGGGACCTAGACAAAGGAATAATTCACCCACAGTGGGTGAGTCTTCACACCTCTTTAGTCTAATACAGATAATCTCCCACAGCACATGCAGGGCCCATCTCCAAGGTGATTCTAGATCTTGTCTAGTTGACATCTAAGATTCACCATTCCAGGGGTGATCCCTACAGCATATAACGTTGTCTTGACTTGATAACAGTTTTCACACCGTTGTTCAAGATCACAAAGGCAAGCATGGTGTGTCTCTCAATCAAAGAAACCCTGAACACCTGGTTCCTAGGCCACAATTCTGTGGTGTCGACGCCAAACCACCCCCAGATGGAAAGGCAACCATGCCTTAAAATAGGATTGCCCTGACAGGATGTCAGGTATGTCTGCTAGATGCTCAGAGTGATGCATGTTTGAGAAAGTACAGGGTGTAGCCAAGACACCAGTTAGCGCCCTCAAACAGATAGAAACACACCAGGAATGAGTTCAAAGATTGTGCTGCTGAGACTGAGGTAAGGTTGTGATAAGACACCAGGACATTTTGACAACATGTTCTAGTCCTTGAGAAATTTCACAGTGCTGCAGGATTTATGGAGATATTAAGACAGCAGAAAGCCTGCTGAGGGCCTGGGCAGAGATAACGAAGATGTTCTGGTGGGGAAAAGCATGGGGTATTGACACAGCCCTGCTCCACTTCTCTGAGGAAGTGGTCCTGCTATCAGAGTGTGAAGACCTCAGGTGGTTGTTGACCAATTTGGAACCATTCCCAATGAGTGAGCTCAATATTGCATTCAAGCTAGTCATGACAACGGGGAGGGGAATAGTCAATCCCCATGTGACTGATAATCAAGACTATGAACTTGATTGGATTGAGATATGCCTATTATATCAATAAAGCTTACCTCTGGGTGTATCAATGAGAGGATCCCAGAGAAGATTAGAAATATGCGGGCTCTGACCTAATCAGTAGTTTAATTCACTGATTAATTCAGTATCTGAATAGATTGCTTAGAGGTGCTAGAATGGTGGAAGTTGGGACCTCCTTGGAGAAAGGGGCTTCCTAGAAGCATGCCTTTGAAGGATGTATCTTGATGCAAAGTCTCTTTGCTTTCTGGGTGCCATGAGGTGAACAATATTCCTCTGCCATGCCCTTCCCCCATAACGTTTTTCCTTGAATGAAGCCATCTGACTATGGACTGATACTTTCAAAATATGATATCAAAACTATCTTTCTTCCTTTTAATATTTTTCTTTTAGATATTTGTCACTGTAACAAAGCCTGACTAGGAGAACACATTATGTGTATTAAAAATCAGAACAGACTGAATAAAAACATAGAAGCACATTTGGTATCTATACTGGATTTATTCTAAATAGCTGAAAACATCGATCTATGTCACCACACTTAAAGCAGAGATGAGAGTTCTCTTCAGCAGCCGAGAAAGGAACACTTTTTAGAATACAAAAAAAAGGAAAATATTTAATATGTGACTAACCCGAATCAAGAATTGTTGCTTTGAGACTACAGTACAAAATCTAAAGCAAACGGCAGACCAAGGAGAGTCACCAAAGAACAGGGCTTTCACACCGGGATCACATGGCCACTCCGGCGTCTTCACCTGCAGCCCTGCCTCCAGAGATCATCTTGCTGTGCCTACTCTCGTCAGTTTTTCTCAATTTAGTGTGCCTATAGGTCATGTCTTTTGGACTCTGCCAACTCCACGCAGCAGCATCTGTCTCTTAAGCTACTTGAAAAACCTCCAGCATGAGCAGCTTTGTAGCAGACATTCTTAACTTCCAAAGACAGCCTTCAGTATTGAAAGGTCAGTGGAGAAGTGAGTGAATGGGGAGACAAATCCAAACACAAACTTGACGGAGAGTGAAATGACCTGTAAAGTAAGTCTAGAGAGAAATTACAAACGATTCAGCACCAATTAGAAGATGCATCATCTCATCCCAGGGCAGTGGCCTAGCCCTCGAGGTGCAGGAACAGGACAGGGTGAAGAAAACTGCCCTAATACCAGGGCACCCAAAGATGACCTCTCCCTATTCAAGAAAATTGGCTAGTCAGTAGAAATGTTGAAGAAACACGAATGACATTGCCCTATGAGAGATTGGCAGGACCCCCGAATCTCTTCAACCACATGCTTAGTCTTACACACTTAACTCTCGCCCGCCATTGTCCAATCTTATTTTGAGTTTCATAGATTTTTGCTGGGCACTCTTCTCCAGGTTGTTATATGTGTGCTGGCCAGGCCTCTACTATGGCCTTCTTCTATAGTCAAATTAGGTTTGCATACTGCTGTGGTTTGGATCAGAAACGCCTCTCAGTGGCCCATGTGTTCAAGGTTTAGGTCCCATCTTATGCATAATTACAGGTGGAGTAAACCTTAAGAAGTAGGGCCTCAGCCTTAACACATGGGGAGGTGCTTAGTCTTACTGCAACTTGATAGGCCATGTTTTGTTGACACTCGTGGGGGAGTTGCCCTTTCCTAAACAGAAATGGAGAGGGTTTTGGGGCGGGGGGACTGTAAGGAGAGGACGGAGACAAACTGCAGCCAGGATATAAAATAAACAGATAGATAGATAGATAGATAGATAGATAGATAGATAGATAGATAGATAGATAGACAGACAGACAGACAGACAGGAAGATGCAGGGCCTTCCGGAAGGCTGTCAGGTCATTTAGAGCCATCTCTTTTAATGGGATAGCAGACTTTAGTCCTTTCCTCTTCCTGGGCATTGCAAGTTTCACTACAGCACCCATTCCTGCCACAAGGTACTTTCCCACAACATGTCAGCAGATCCCAGATGAAACCACTGAAGCTGTGACCAGTGTAGATATTCCTCTAAGCTGAGCATCTCAGGTGTTTGTTGAGTGGCATAAACCTGGCTGCCACACACATTCACTTCCTCTGTCATTGCAGTTACAATATGGGAGGGGGTTGGCATCCCAAGACACTAGGTATGGCATAGGCAGTTTGTCACTGGTGATTAGCTGATCAGATAATTGCTAATCAGTTTTCTTTCAGATGTGGGCAAGCCACATTAAGTTTTGTTATAATAATCAACAATTTTGTTTTCTGTAATAGATGAACTTTTTTTCATTTTGATTATTTCTATGCTCTTGTCTTTAGTTTTTTTATTTCTTTTCAGTGTAAGCCTGATTTGTTTTTCAAATAAGCTTAATAATTCTAAACTGTAATTAAATGCATTTTATTTACTCTCCAACACTTATGAGTTCAGTTTATTCAATGTCTGGATTTCCCAATCACTATTTAGGCCCATAAAATGCCAACAGGGACCTCTCTTTTCATCTGCTCACAGGACCTCCAGTCCTGGGACGGCAATGTGCTAACTTAGAGGGAAAGGGAGAGGGACTCCTAAGTGTGAGCAGGTCACCTGCCTTTTCTGAGCCTGAGCGTCCTGAATGGAAACAGTAGGATATGTGTCCCACTGTTGTGTCCCACTGCGGTGTCACTCACTCACTGCTGTGCCTTACACTGCTGTGCATCAACTGCTGAGCATCACACTCACTGCTGTGGAATGAGTGTGTAAGGAACGAGAAAGGAAAGAGAGGGAGGGAAGTACATTATCTGCACCAAGACAATGTGCAGTCAAGATGCTCCCAGCCTTGGGCCTGGGGGGCATTCGGAGGATCCAGGAAAGTGAACCATGGCAGGCTGGCTTTAAATACTGGCTGGACCCAGAGTACATGAGGCCAGCTGACAGAAGAACTGTATCACGTGAATTCCCCCCTCATCCTTACCTATTGCTCCAACTCCAAACAGCCTATAAACAGTAGCTGGCTAGTATAAGGAGAAGCAGGCCCAGGAAAAAACAGTTGGAACAATCCCGGGTCCAAAGAAAAGAGAAAGATTAGCTGCAGTTTTGAGTGCAGTTGGGGAGGAAGGGATGTCCTCTTGCTACGTGGGGCTGTGTATTTAGACTGTGGGGGCATTTTGTTATTTAAAGTGCCCAGAACACTTTACATTACGTAAAACATATCAGAAAGTCATGGAAAAACCCATACCTAGGAGCAGAGAAAGAACTGAATTAATTTTAATTTCATTTTTATTTATTTCTAACAGAGAGTGACACTATGTAGCCCAGGCTGGCCTCCAACTCACTATGTAGCCCAGGCTGTATTCTATGTCACTATGTAGCCCATCTGGCCTCAAGCTATTCATTCTCCTGCTTCATTTTCCCAAATGCTGAGATTACTGAAATGTGCTACCACACTGAGCAAAACCTGAATATGTTTAATTGGAAAGGAGACAAAATTTAGTTATTATATCTACAAGTTGTATTCAACACATTTGAGAAATATACATCCATATATTATATAGATTCATGTGTGTAACCGGACACTACACAAAAGTATCCTAAATAATTGAAGTGTCTACAAAGACCACAAATAAAACAAGATTAGAATTTCCAAGTACTGCCTACCATATGCGGATTTTCCTTCTCCACTTTGAGACACAGACGGTGCAGAATGTGAAAGGATCAGGTGGAGAACTTCACTGCAAAGGCCCCACTTACAGCCCAAGTCTGGCAAAGGCATCTTCACTAGAATCATAAAAGACCTGTGGACTCTGTTTCCTGGTCAGAGGACAGAGAGGATCTGCTGTGGATATCACTCTGTATAAATAAAACCCTGATTGGCCAGTAGCCAAACAGGAGGTATAGGCAGGACTAACAGAGAGGAGAGAAGAAAAGGACAGGAAGACAGGAGGAGGAGACACCAGCTGCCGTTCAGGGAGCATCATGTAGAGACAACAGGTAAAGCCACAGAACACGTGGCAACATACAGATTAACAGAAATGGGCTTAGTATAAGAGTAAGAGCTAGACAATGGTAGGCCTGAGCTAATGGCCAAGCAGTTTAAATAATATAAGAGTCGGTGTGTTTATTTTATAAATGGGCTCTGGGACTGGCGGGGCTTGGCAGGAGCTGAAGAGAAATTCTCCAGCTATAAGGATCAATGCTCAGCTAACCTTTGACTGGACAGGAGTGTTTCCAGAGTCTGTGGGGGAGTCATGAAGTCGCCTACAGAGCAGAAGTGGATCATGTAGGAGCCAGAGAAACAGTGAATAGGTGAGGATGTGCCATTATATCACATGTGTAAATGGGCTCTATGGACTCGTGCTGTGGCTGACACTGAACCCTTCATCTCCTATGGGGTGAGAGAAGAGCCACCACAGACTATTTAGAATAGAAAAGATGCCAGAATCAGCATCATCATCGAAGAGTGGTCCAATTGGGGAAAATCTAAGAAACCCATGAAAGCTTCCTCAGCTAGGTATATCACCTGCAGCCACCCACCAGATCAGAACCAGGTACATCACCTGGAACCACCCAACAGATCAGAGGAATAACTGTGTACTTGTTGAAGGATGACTGTTTCCTTATCCTGCCTCTTGCTGAAACAGCAGCTCTCTGGTGAGAAAAGAGGCTGGGAGGCAGAGAAAGAGCTAAGTGAGGTACCATGTCTCCCACCCAGATGTAATGTTCCACCACTGCAAGGGAGGAAGATGGAGTATCATCTCAAGTTAGGGCTTTGATTAGCTAAGGATAAGAACAATTTACTGAATTGAGAATAAGCTTGTGACTTCAAGGCATCTTAAGCTACCAATTGTGTACCACTGAGCAGAGAGGTTATAAAACCTTAGTAGAGTTGCCCAGGAACAGGGCTTGAGAACATTCACCAAAATATTTTAAAGGAGGTGGAAAACAAGTCAACTTATAAAGGTCAATGACCATATACTCCAATACCTAGAAGGGTCACTGAGTACACGGTAAAGATTTACTGAACAAGCAGAGTACATTAGACACAGGTGTACACATATGCTGGTACACCTTCAACTCTGGAATCCATAATATGACGTTTCTAAATAGAAGTATTTCCAAATAGTACATTGTTATAAACTTATTAATGGCAGTAGTATCCAATTATTGACAATCTTCATAAGAAATTCCATAGCTTTCATCTACCATACATTCATTAACTAATTTAAGTGCAAATGTTGACTAAACACCAACCGTGTCCCAGATGCCACTGGGCGGGGAAGACACAGCACGCAGTGACAGACTAGCTGGCAGCCGCCTCTGGAGAAGCTAATGTTTTGACTGGTAGAGAAGAAAGGTGACCACATACTTTCACAAGTCAGGTTTGTCCCAGGCCTGCTGAATTCTGGAGTCTGAATTCTGGCCAGTGTAGAGGACAGCTTGGTCTCAGAAGTAACAGTGCCAGCGAAGGGTGGGAGAGGCTGTTAGAATGGCCTCGTGCTCTAAGCAGCTTTGTGCAGAAATGGTTCAAGGGATGGAAAACACATGGTGCTGGAGAATCAAGGATGGGAAACAGTGGCAAGGGCAGGCTAACATGGGTGGGCACTGGAGGCTGTGGGGCCAGCGTGTCTCTAGGTCTTACATCGTCTTTCCTCTGCAGTCATTCTTTGACTTACAAAGTTTTGACTGGCAGCTGGTCCTTGCAAGCAGAGGGTAGCTCCAGTCTCATGAATTGTCTGTCACCTGTTCCTCGCAGGGCTGTGAGTTTTCTGTCCCCATAGAGGAGAGGCAGTACCATAGTTGAACAAATAAGATATCAGCCCTATCTGGGTTTCTTAGCAGAAAACTCTAGCTAAGTTATTCAATGTCTGCCAACTTCAGCTTCCTCAAGAGCAAGAGTGCACCCTGCCGCAAGGCTGCTGGGTACATTAAATGAAGGAATGCATGCGAAGAACAGCGCCCAGCGCCTTGTGTGCAGGAAGCTTGGGGAAAGGTTAGTTATTTGTCATTACAGCTCCCTTCTCTTCGGTTCCGCTCAGCTACCCAGCAGATTGGGCACTTCATTCTACTCACTACAAGTGCCACAGTGTTTAAAATATTTCTGCTTGGGGAGGTCGTTTCATTTTGGTATGTGGCATACCTCCCCCTTTTCCTTCTCTCAATCAGTGCTATTGTTAGCATCTTACCAGCCACGGGGTGATCACAGCTGTGGAGGGCTGAAGTCTCAGGGGTCACAGCCTTCCAGAAAACAGAAATCTCTTGTGTTGAAATTACTACAAAGGTGAGGTCGCGTGTGTGTGTGTGTGTGTGTGTGTGTGTGTGTGTGTGTGTGTGTGTGTGTAAAATTTGATAAAGTTCTTTTTGACAAATTTCTGAGTCACTGGAGCATGAAGAAAGGTGATTCTCTTTCCCTGAAAGAATTCTGGGTGATTTTTTTGGTGCATGAATATCTCAATAAGCAGCCCAATTTTCAAATGTCAAACTTGCCACTGAACTTGGTTCTTGGGGAGGACAAACGCCTTTGATTTGTTTGAAGGAATTTGATTTGGAAATAGTGGAGTGATTAGTTGTTGAGACCGAGGCTTTGAAGTCACAGAGCACAGATTTCTTTTATAGGCCCTGGTGGAGCCCCAGACATTTGCATGTAAAATATTTCTAGAACTTTTGCATATGCTTAGATATTAAAATAAGCAAGCCTAATGCATTTGTAAGATCCCATCTGTCACACACACAATGTAGTTTAAAATGCCACCTGATGGAGAAATACTGTTCTGTTGTTTAACCTTAATCGCACAGGAGAGTGAATGCCGAATACTGATGAAATACGATTATTGAAGTCCTAAATGCAGGTTGTATTTAATTCTGCACATGGTACATTTGGGATAGTGCTAAGTAATAGCTCTTACAAGATCTCCATTTGAAAGAAACGTAAGAATTGGAAGCCTAACCAATGGAAGACAAGAAACGTTCAGTTCTAAAAATAGAAGTCTAAAAAGACCTTGAAAGGTTCCAGGAACCAACCCCACCTGAGGTGCAGTCCAGAGAGCTGTTGGGTTAGGGAGGTCCCAGAGCAGACGTCTACTGCAAACCTTCATCCCACAAATAACGAGACCAGAGTCCAAGTCAGAGCTCACCAAAACCTTAGAGACAGCTTCCCCCAGCAACACGTTGGTGCTAACACAACAGAGATTCAGACTGCCTTAATTTCCACCCATTAGGCCTACTTTCTTGATGTGTGCAAATTTAAAATAGATCACCACACATCTCTATAAATGACTAATGCTAGAAACTGACACTATGTCAAGATATTAGAATGGGAAATAATGAACTCCCATAGCAGAAAGCTCACGGGACCTCACTAGAGCTTCTATAGACTCTGCTATCCTACAGGGATAGAGCGTTCAGAGGCTCCTTGGCCTGCTTCATGGGTCACAACTTCCATTCTGTACTACAAATAGGAACTGAGCAAATTATTATGTTCCATAAGTCACTATTTTGTCATAGGAAGTGGATAACAGCAATGAATATTAACAGGGTAATAATTAAAAAGACAGAAAATTGCCTAGTCCATTTAACCACTCCATATATGGCATTTTGATTGTGGCTGATATTCCTGTTATAATCTTTGTATTTGATGGAAAATAAAAAACAATGATTGCTTGCTATTATCATCTCTAATAAGACTGTCTATGTACGCATGTGGCATGCACGTATGTACACATGTGTGTATACACATGTATAAATGTGTGTGTATGTGTTCTTCAATCACTCTCCACTTTACCTATTAGGGTAAGGTGTCTCATGTAATCCACAGCTCACAATCCTGCCATTAGCCAGCTTGCCTGGGGGCTCTCCTAACTCTGCCCCCACCAAGTGCTAGGGTTTTAAGTGAGCTGCCACGTCTGCCTAGCATTCACATGGGTTCTGGGGAGCTGAAGTCTCCATGTTTACACAGCAAACACTTGAAGCACTGGACCCTCTCCGAGCACCCTCCTAACAAGTATCTTAAGCCATAAACACACATAAAAGTCTATAACAAAGGGAATTTGGAAGACTACTTTCCGGCAAGGGTGATGAGTATCCTCAGGATTAACATTATGAAGGATTTCTTCTTTCTTCCTGGCGACCACTGCCTGCAGCAATGGTGTGCCCCCTCCAGGGATGGCGTGGATGGCATGTCCAGACAGTTCAAATCTATGACCTCCCCACTGGGTCAACCCAACATCACCCTTACGCTCCATCTTCTCTTTTTGTTTCATCAACTCATGTCCACGCTGAAGAGAAACTGCGACCAAGGAAAGAAAGAGAGACCCAAGTGGGCCCAGACTCAAGATCCAGTAACAAGAAATTCATATTGCTTTAATCTTTTTGTTTAGAAACGCAGCAGGTAAGTCTTGCTTATTTTTGCTAGAGATTCCAATTTATCTGGGTGAAATAGATTCCAAATGATTATTGATATTGGGATCTTTATGCAAATCCATTCCCAGTTGAGTGGTGAATACTAATCTCCACTATAATGAAAAGAAAATCCTCTAAATTCCAATTCTCTCACTTCATACAACTGACACTATCACTTGAGACTGGTAAAGAAGGAAAAAACTCCGTTATTTCCATTTGTTAATTTCACACATTAAATAATAAGTGTGAGAGCTCACAATTTTGCTGCCTCTATCAACTTTACTACTTTCAGGGCAGTATGGTATATTTTAAAAAGTAAAAAGTTTATGTGTGATTGACTCACAAAAGGAATAAACTTAGGGAGTGAGGGGTTTACAAAGCGACTCAGGGAAATGCTAGCCCAGAGGCCACTGAGATCCCTTGAATTACAGAGGCCCTGGGAAGCTCAGGAAAAGGAGAATGCTGAGATTTTGTCAGTTTCTGCATTTCAATGATGCCCCTGCCAACTTACTTCCTGAAGTAACCTTTCCAGATGCATGACAGTCTTAGCTGGCCATGATGGCATAGAACTGTACCCAGCATCCAGGAAACAGAGGTAAGATGATTGCAAGTTTGAGATTATGAAGTGAGACTCCATATCTAAAGAAAAAAAGAGGCTGAGGAGGTGTGGCTCGGCCATTGAGAGTGTGTACTACCTTTAAAGAGGACCAGAGTTTAGGTCCTGCCCACGCCAGGAGACTCTCAACTGCCTGTAATTCCAATTCCAGGGGATCCAATGCCCTCTTCTGGTCTCTGCCAGGACCTGCATACCTGTGCAAATAAAGACACACACACACACACACACACACACACACACACACACACACACACACACACACTTTAAAATAAAATAATCTTTAAAAAGAAAGAAAAAGTCATTTCTGGTGAGGTATGGACAGTATTTTAATGCTGCTGTGTCTCCTGAACACTCTTAAAGTGTGCTGATGCTGTTCTGAGGAGGATGTCAGGAATGGATGAAGTAGGCAGAGGCCACAGCTGCAAACATGGCCATGAGAAAGCTCAGTCAGTGACAGATACCTAGAAAGACGGGACTAGAGATGATGATGATCCTGGGGGTGTCTGGAATTCCACACTGGAAAACCAAACCTTTTTTCTTTAGAACAGGAGTTAGAGCACCAAATCTGTACACAAGGACCTGGCTTCACTGAAGACTCAAAGGCTCCCAAGAAGTAGCTACAGTGAATCAGTCAGAAGACCACTGGGCACGCCTGTGGTGGCTGGGGGAGACTGTCTCCCACAGGCGTGTGTGTCTGGACACTTGGTCTCTGGTTGGGGGTGCTGTTTGGGGAGGCTTAGGAAATCCGTCACTGGGCAAAGGTTTTGAGAGTTGAAAGCCTCAGGCCACTCTCTGCTCACCTCTTCTGCATCTTGTTGGTTATTTAAAATGTAAGCTCTTGTCTTGCTCCTCCAACTGCCATACTTTCCCACCACAAGGCTCTTACCTCTCTGGAACCACAAACCAAATAAATCCTTCCTTCCAGGAGCTTTCTTGATCATGGTGTTTTATCATAGCATCAGAAAAGTAACTAACTCCCAGCAGAGGATAAGCACTTGGTCAGTTGAGGCAATTAATGGGATTTCATCAGAAAGTAAGCCACAGGGATTACAAAACCCAGAAAAGTACATGTTTGCAAAAGCTCAAGACAAGTGGTCTACCACCCAATTAGAGTCAACTCCCTGTTTCAGATTAAATAGTGTTGGACAGCTAGAACACAGTTAGGTAGCCTGGGCTAAGGAGGCTGAGACCCAATTTAAAGATACAGATGAAAAGGCGATTAGTCTGACATGGGGGAACAGAAAAGATGAGGTTACACAAAACGGGAGTATTTATTTTGGTACTTGGAGGAAAGCAGGAATGAGAGATCTTATGCAGAGACCACTCAACTTCCTCTTAAGCTCTGCTCACTATTGACACTTCCAAAGATGACCGTGCTATGGGTAATTATAGCTCAGAAGTAGCTTCCTCACCCCAAATCCTTATTTCCCAAAGCTGAATAACAGTGACCAAGAGTTACGCTTTTGGACAAATGGTTGGGACAAGGTATGGAATACCTTGGTTCCTGACTCTTGAGAATGATGTCTAGCACATGACACATGCTCTCTGAATCTGTATGAAGCACTGAGTAGAAGCCAGAGAGGGTAAGATCTTCACCCAAGGATGCCTATGGTGAAGAGCGCGCAGAAACTGGAAGAGGCAGCCAGGCCAGCTCTGTCTTAGCACAAGGACAAATGTGCATGGAATTTCTTGGTGTTGAGCTGTTCCTCCTGTTGGTCAGTGTGTACTTCCTGACCAGTTTTCTTTACTCCTGAATGGGAGTGATGCCAAGGCATGCTCCAGAAAAGGCTTGGGATGAAAAAGGAAAGTACGTGTTTCATCTAATGTGTTCCAGACCTTCTGGCCAATCAAGTGAAAAGATTCTGCTAGTCCCGATTGGTACAGACTGGCAAGGGGCCAGTCTATCAATCAGGTGCCCCTTTAACCAATCTGTGTTCCCAGGACAGAAAGGGCACAGCCCAGAACAAGATTAAGGAATTCAGAATTGAACTCACGATCTATCTGTCTTTTTAACCCCCAATTCAGTGTTCAGCAAACCCAATCTGGATTAAAAGATAAGGATGTGTGTATGTGTGCACTCTGATTTGTCAAGAGTATTTGGGTAAGTATTTTGGAGCGTCTGATTGTCTTCAAATTGTTTCTTCTTTTTATACATTTTTATAGTTGGTGGGAAATGGAGGGAAAGGCAGAAAGACAAAGTAAAGGGGAAATGGCTGTATGGGGTTCTGGAGACAGCCACCTGGGTATGCATCAGAGGATCCCAAAAAAAGGTCAAGACAAATCCCGACACTCATTTTCCTCTGGAGTCACAGAGAACAGTGGCAGACAGGCTGTCAGAGGTGCTGGCTGCTGTGGGGTCTCCTCGCAACAGGCCGTGGGAATTCACCTTCAAAATTCTAGTCAGGAAGAGACTTCCAAGCCCCTTGTAAGATACAGCAGAGAGGGTGGGCACTGGACGGCTGGACCAGCTGCTCCGTTTCACAAAGGGCAGCAGGGCTGTCACTAGGGTTGCCAAGGAAGCGTGGGCCCAATGCCATCAAGCCTTGTGTCCAAACTGCTCGTCTGAGGAAGAGGAAGAAATATGTATGATGTACAAGATACTGCTTAAAATTGATGTGAGGAATGGTTCCTCACTTCTGCAACCACACTCATCTCACTGTTTCTACACACATTCCCATCCCATCCCATCCCTGCAAAAATGATCAATGGTTTCATTTAAGCCCTGCATACATCTGAAGCAGAAGACAATCTCTTGTATGTGATTTGCCTAATGCATTTTTCATTCTCTGAAAAAAGAAAAAAAATCCACAGCCATAGCACCCTAGAAACAAGCAAGACAAATTCATGATACAGCCAGGGCTTGCTAACTGTGTGACCCAGGGGTCAGATTCTACCCGTAGCTTCCATAAGAACTACAGAGTTTTGCTTTTAAAAAGGGCTTTCTAAACTAATAAAGACAGATATGTGATGGAGGTCCTCTGTGGCCTATAAGGCTAAGTTATTTACTATTCTGTTCCTCGTAGACAGTTTGCTGCCTCCCACATTATTTTTCCTTAAATTTTTGTAAGTTGTTCCATAGTTTTATACATTGATATAATGATTTTTGTGTGATTTTCACAGTCCCCTCCCTCTCCTGTTGGAACCCTTCATCTCGGCCAGTCTCCTGTCTCACGTAGTCTTTTTGCACATAGCATGCCCCCTTCATTTGTTTCTTGCTTGAGTGTGGGTGAGGCGAGATGTCATTTACTTAGCAAGGCCAGCTTACCAGTGGCTCCACCACTGGAGACAGTGACATCTCCCCCTCCCCCAATAACCATGAGTTACCAGTATTCGCTCAGAGACAAGCGAGTCCCCATGGCCTCTCTCCCATCCATGATGAAGCGGGAGGGGCCCAAGCTCAAGCAGGTCTTGTACCCAAAACCACAGTGGCAGTGAATGTAAGAGTCAGAGGATGGGAGGTACGCAGTAAAAAGGATGTCTTCCGACATGACAGTCCCCTCGTACCCGAACTCACTGCGGCGCTTATTTTCTTATGTCTAAAATCAGCAAAGACAAAACAAAACCAACAAGAAGGGCCCAGAATTTTATTTTGGTTTGCCTGAAAATTTACAAAAATTGTTTGAAACTTGAAAATGAATTCTTCAGGGTTGGAGGCAGAAAATCTTAAAGATACAGGTAAACTGTAAAATGGCCCCATATAATATTCTGTTCCTAATATACTAAATGTTTATCACATTTAAATCATTGACCAAAATGTGTTGTTTTATTTCCTGATAAACAGTCTTAAAAAATAGTGTCAATGACAACCCAGACACATGAAAGGCTCAGGATGTGAGTGGTCCCTCAGTGACTGACACTATATGCTGTTCCCTCAGCAGACAAAGAGATACACTGTGTCTCTCACTCATCAGAACAGCCCTGGGCTGGAGACATACCACCCTTCCCCCCAACCTCAGATGAGGGTATGAGTCAAGAGACAAGGACTTAGCTGAGTTCTAAGTGACCAGAGAACAGGAATGACTGCCCCACACTGCGGTGTCTCTAACCTTCGACCTTGGAATTTGATAAAGTCATCTACATATCTGTGCTTGAGAACAATGCATCTGAGTTACAAACACATCATCACAAATAACATCCACAGTGTGTGTTGAGCTGCAGTTGGAGCTATGCACATTTCTGCTCTTGCTTTTTGCAAATATCACACAAATTGGTGAAACACCCCATCTCAGGGCTCCCAGCCACTTTCTCCACAAGGAGCAACAACATAAGGAGCCTGTCTACCTTGCGGAGGGTTTGGGGAACCTGGAAGAGGAAGATGGCCCTTATCCATCCACTGTGACTTAAAAAGCTGAGTTTGAGGTGTTTTTTCATTTAATCTGGCACTATATAAAGAGTGGAGTCACATTAGTTGCATGTGGTTTTCTTCACTTTTGCTCATGCAGAGACTTCTGAAAGGTGTAATTAAAATAAGGCATAACCCCAAGGTTGGCTTTCTCTGCACACAACTGCTCCTCTCCCCTCTTTCTCCCTTCCAACCACCTTACCTTGATATCTCCACTTGTATTACTAAAAACAAAGTTTTAGTGTTTAGGAAGAGCTAGAAACTGTATGCTGGGCTGGACCCCAGGGAAGAGTTTTGCATCTTTTCATTCGAAGCCTCCAGTGACTCCAGTGCTGACTCACCCTCTGCTTTGGCCTGAGCTTCCAGCTGTTCCCATCAGGAATCAAGTGGGTGCTACTACCATGTCTGGATCCCCACCAGGTGGCTGAATCCCCTGGGGCTCAGCCCATGTGGGGTTTCTGACACCTCATCTTTGCATCCTGCAGTCAGTCCAAGGAGTTTTACTTTTTTATACAGCAGTTGTGGATTTCAGGAGGACAAGGGTAGAAACTGCCATGTGTCTTCAAACAAGTCACAGAGTCGTATTGGGCACAGGAGTCACTTTTGCCACCTCCACATCAAGGCAGGTCATCAGCACAGCTCAGATTGAAGGGGCAAGCAAGGGCAGACTGCACTTCTCAGTGTGAAGATTGGTCATTTCAAAGTAAAATCCACACTTCAATGGGAAGAGTATGGGATCATTACAAGGTAAAACCCACACCTCAATGGGAAGAGTATGTGATCATTACAAGGTAAAACCCACACCACAATGGGAAGAGTATGTGATCATCACAAGGTAAAACCCACACTACAATGGGAAGAGTATGTGATCATTACAAGGTAAAACCCACACCTCAATGGGTAGAGTATGTGATCATTACAGGGTAAAACCCACACCACAATGGGTAGAGTATGTGATCATTACAAGGTAAAATCCACACCACACTGCACGGCTCCCACAGGAATGGACTTGATTCCACTCAAGAACAAAGTAGTCTAGACGGTGAATTCCCATCTCTGAGTGTTCTCAAGGGTGAACTGGACAGGATGGATATCAGGTCTAATTCAACTCTAAAATCTGCAAATTTGAAGGACATGGGAAATTTGAAATATCAAGAAAACTATGACTATAACAATATTCATTCATGGTTATAGAGACTACCGTAAATTCTAACTTCACACGACAGACTACAAACATTTCTCACGATTCGAGACTTGTTCTCTCCAGCAATGTGCCACCCATGGAGACTCTCACCTTGTGACAGTTGCTCAACACCACAGCTGTGAGTCCTCTTGTTAGACTATGTTCTGGCTAGTGTCATCTGTCTGTCTGCAGGGAGGCACTGACGTGCGGCTTCACTTCTCAGTCAGACCCTAACCCATGCCTGACGCCTCTTCCTTCCCAACACATGTCCTTGCTTCTGAACATGTTCAACTTGAGGCTTCCTACTCTCAAATGCAGCAGCCTCCTGACACTCCCCTCACTCCAGCCTCGGCCATAAAAGGAAACCTTACTGAAGGTGCATCCATCTATTGCTACTTGGAT